ATCCTAACCTTCAATCTCCTCGAACATTATATTCTCCTGATACAAGATTTCTCGCCTAACCTAACAATCACTGTAACCTAACTTCACTAATACTTTATAATAACCTACAATCTGGCACATTATAGTCTCCTGATACAATATTATTTACATAACATAACTAGCACTCTTACTTAACCTCACTAATATTTTTACATAACCCCCGATCACCTCCTCGCACATTACATTCTCCTGATACAAGATTTTGCACCTAACCTAACAATCACTCTAACCTAACCTCACTATTTCTTTATCCTAACCTTCAATCTCCTCGCACATTATAATCTCCTGATACAAGATTATTTACCTAACCTAACTAATACTCTAACCTAACCTCACTCATACCTTAACATAAAATTTCCAACCATTTCCTGATACAAGATTTCTCACCTAACCCTAACCTCACTAATATTTGATCCTAACCTTCAATCTCCTCGAACATTATATTCTCCTGATATAAGATTTCTCGCCTAACCTAACAATCACTGTAACCTAACTTCACTAATACTTTATAATTAACCTACAATCTGGCACATTATAGTCTCCTGATACTATATTATTTACATAACATAACTAGCACTCTTACTTAACCTCACTAATATTTTAACATAACCCCCAATCACCTCCTCGCACATTACATTCTCCTGATACAAGATTTTACACCTAACCTAATAATCACTCTAACCTAACCTCACTCGTAGTTCAAGCTTTTTAACCTAACCTAACTAGCACTCTAACCTAACCTCACTAATACTTCATCCTAACCTTTAATCACCTCATCACACATTATATTCTCCTGATACAAGATTTTTCACCTAACCTAACTAGCACTATTACTAACCTCACTAATATTTTAACATCACCTTCAATCACCTCCTCGCACATAATATTTTCCTGATACAAGATTTCTCACCTAACCTAACAATCACTCTAACCTAACCTCACTCGTAGTTCAAGCTTTCTCACCTAACCTAACTAGCACTGTAACCTAACCTCACTAATACTTCATCTTAACCTTTAATCACCTCCTCACACATTATATTCTCCTGATACAAGATTTCTCACCTAACCTAACAATCACTATAACCTAACCTCACTAATTCTTTATCCTAACCTTCAATCTCCTCGCACATTATAATCTCCTGATACAAGATTATTTACCTAACCTAACTAATACCATAACCTAACCTCAATCATACCTTAACATAAAATTTCCAACCATCTCCTCGCACATTATAGTCTCCTGATACAATATTATTTACATAACATAACTAGCACTCTTACTTAACCTCACTAATATTTCAACATAAACCCCCAATCACCTCCTCGCACATTACATTCTCCTGATACAAGATTTTGTACCAAACCTAATAATCACTCTAACCTAACCTTACTCGTAGTTCAAGCTTTTTAACCTAACCGAACTAGCACTCTAACCTAACCTCACTAAGACTTGATCCTAACCTTTAATCACCTCCTCACACATTATATTCCCCTGATACAAGATTTTTCACCTAACCTAACTAACACTATTACCTAACCTTACTAATATTTTAACATAACCTTCAATCACCTCCTCGCACATTATATTCTCCTGATACAAGATTTTTCACCAAACCTAACAATCACTCTAACCTAACCT